TATGGCGATAATTACAGCATTTGGGAAGAAAATCCCATTAAGCAAGAGCCCTGCCGAGCTGCTAATGCCGGCACAGAACTGGAGGCGGCAACTCCGCCAAGCGCCTGTCTGCTCCCAATAATGCAGGAGCTGCCTGTCCCCACCGCCCCTCGCCCTGCCCCAAAAGAGCACGGCCGCCCCTGCTGGCAGCCTCGGGGAGCCTGGGCCACCAACAGCCAGCCTTGGCCTGGGGAACGGGCACCCAGGAAGGGCAGCCCGTCAGGTGTGCTCCAGGGCTCCCAGTGGTTGCCTGGGCAGGAAAGAGGAGGGCCACGCCAGGACCAAGTGATGAGTGGCACCCATTCCCCTCACGTCCCTGCAATTCTCTGTCACTAATAATAGCAATAATACCATTTACTGGGCACTCACTGTCTGCCAGGCCCGGCGAGAAGTGCTCCTGCGAGCATTACTGCGTTTAATCCTCACGGCCACCCAGGGAAGCAGGTCCGATCGTCATCACAACTTACCGGCCAGGAAATAGGGGTTCTGAGAAGTCACACTTTCCTCCAGAGCACTTATCCCAGCTTGCAATTATGTTTTTATTCTACATTCTGTCGTTCGTCCCTGTCTCCCCCGCTGGACTAAAACTCGGGTTTCTGTTTCTGCTCGGCACTATTCACCCGGCACAATGCAGGCATCAGTAGACGGCTATCTGTTGAATGAGGGAATTAAACCCGTGGCTTGCCCCAGGTCTCCCAGCTGCTGAGGGGCAGAGGGGGCTAAACACCCGAGCAGTCTGGCTCCAGAGCTGTGCCATCGCCACCATCCGCCCTGCAGCGTCCCTGCCCCCGAGCTCCCCTGATGGGGAGGCAGAGACACCCAGGTGCCGTGGCCGTGGCCGCGCACTGTGAGCACCGACGCCAGAGAGCCGCTTGGCGCACAGCTGAAGCCCAGCCCAGGCCGCTTCTGCCCCACCTGCACCCGCAGGCCTCCAGCTCGGGCTTCTCAGATAATAACAATAAGATCCCAGTTTGAATCACAAAGCGTCTGCACAAGCGTGGCCTGAGTGAACCCTTGCAAAGACCCTCTGAGGTAGTATCTATTAGCCCCAGAGGCCAGGGAAGGTGACGCCAGCCATGTGCCCAGCACGGCCCTTCGCTCACTACGCCTCACTATCAACCTGCACAGCTGTGGGCATCCCCTTTTACAGAGGGCAAGAGGGTCTCAGGGCAGGGGAGGGACCACTCTGGGGCCCTCACACCAGTCACTCAGAGCCCAGCAGGAAGCCCAGTGCGAGGCTCACACACCAAAGCCTAAGCAAGCAGGAAACACCCACTCTGCCAGGAGGCCCAGGCCAGCCAGGCCCTGGCAGCAGATGTGGCTTCCAACAGCCCCTGACCTCACTCACCACAACCGCCGTCCAATCAGTATCTGGAATTCCAAACAGGCTCCCCAGACCCTCCGCCTCGGGGTGCCCTGGTCCGTCTTCCTTCCGCATGACCACCCCGCCTGGTAGAACGGGACAGGAGGTTGAGCCGGAGAAGGTGTGGGCCTCCCGGGGCCTCTACGGCACGCCAGGAGCTAGGCAGGGTGGACCAGTGGAGAGGAGGCAAGGGACACACAGAGGATGGCAGGGGAGCAGCCTGTGACCTGGGGGCCAGCAGAATGTGCTGGGCCCAGGGGCAAGCAGGGGCCAACAGGCTGTCCCAGGGGCCCTGCCTGCCTGTCCCCCTCCCTGGGTGATCGGCCACACTGCTAGAGAGACGCAAGCCTAGAAGACGAGTGCCCGGGGTGGGGCACACTCTCCTGGACAACCTAGTCCCAAAGGCATTTTAAATTTAAAAAAATAATAATAATAATCGAACTATGGAAGAGAAAAAGTTAACAGTCGCTGTGGCTGGGTCCCTCTGAGCCTGGGTCCTATGAAGAGACGAAGCTTCCCAGGCCTCCTCCACCGCCTCCCCCAGCCCCCGCTCTGTATTTTAATTGTTCCATTACAGTGAATTATTTAGCATTCCTTCCCCACCCGGCCCACCGGCCCCACAGCCCCTCTGGCTGAACCAATTTCCTGCGCAGCTCTGGGGCCTACCCAACCTCTTCCCAGAAGTCCCCACAGCAAACCAATGACAATTTCTTTCCACTTGGGGGGACAGACCTGGATCTGGAGTTATGGAATTTATAATCATAAAGTTGCCGGGCCTCACGGGCCACTGCAGGGACTGCCCAAAGGACAGAAGACAAACGCACAGCTGCAGTCTATAAAAATGTCACGGCCTCAGGAGAAGCCGCTGTTTCAGGCCCTGATACTGCATGACGCCCATATTGATTACAGAGCACTTGCCACAGTGATTCCGAGTCGGCCTGGGCTCGCACCAAGGCCGCCTGCAGGATGTTCTTTTCCTCTTCGAATGGCTCTCTGCGAGCCGCCTGCTGACAAGGCAGCAGCTCCCTCTGCTCTCCGATAAGAGAGGCTTTGCCTCCCCTCCTGGACAACTTGCCCCTGGATCCCAACTCAGCAGTCCCCGAAGGAAAAGCCTTCCTCACCCTTCACAACCTCCCTTCCCTGCCTGGAGTCCCATCACACTGAACGCTTCAGACCCAGGGACAAGCCAGTCCATTTCCCGGTTTCGCACCATGGTGCTCCTGGTGTCCCCCTGCCTGGACTGCCTGCCCTCTCTGCTTGGCAAAGTCCCACCTACCCTGATAAAAAAAGGCCCATCTTCTGAGGCGCCCCTTCACCCCAGAAAAGTGCTCTCACCCCACTGTTCCTACAGCCCATTCCCAAGGCTGCCTGGCCCTCTCCAGAGAGATCACAGTCAGGGGTCCCCTGCCCAGTCCTCTAGACCACATGCCCCTTGAGAGCAGGGACACTCACTCACTCACTGCTGACACCTCAGCACCAAGGGCAGTTCTTGGCTCGTGCACATTTGCTAATTAAAATAACGAGTCTCCTCTCCCCACCCTATCCTAATAATGGCTCTCACTCAGCATCAGAACATGCCATGCATTTATGTTATCTTCCATCCTCACAAAAACCAGAGACCTATGTATCCCCAGCCCCATTTTCCTGATGGAAAGCAACTAAGGCTCAGAGAAGTTAAGTAAATTGCCCAAGGTCACACAGCTAATAAGTGACAAAGCTGGGGCTCCAACCCAGGCAGTGTAACTCCTGGAGCCCCAATTCTTTTCTCCATACTAAGAAATTTCCCCTACCTCTCACTCTGATCACAAAAGAGCTACAGAGTTCGTGGAAGTCAGAACAGACACTGTCCTAAACACAAAAGGTGATGAGAGAGCAAGGATGGAGGAGATGACTTCGAGAGTCAAGATCCAAAAGCAAAGCAGAGAGGCTAATGTGTCTCAGATCTAGGCTGCTCCCGGGTAACAGCTGCAGAAGAAACGCCCCGGTGGACAAGGCAAGGGGAACAGGAAGTAGGTCCAGAGGGAACAGGCATGGAGGGTGACTGGGCCACCTCAGGCGTCCTCTAGATAGATTTCTAACCCTCAGTTCCTCCCCAGGTCCACAGAGGAGAATGCACAGTCTGCCCCAAGGAAACTCGGTTTGGCCTCACCTCCCTCCCACCCCATCTCTCCCCAGCCCCACAACACACATGCGCTCTCACACACTCTGGCGCACACATTGATCCCCAGCGAGACTGCCTCGAGATTGGAAATTCTCGGAAACCTTCACGGAATTTTTCATACTCATCCAAGAAGAGTCGAGGGCAAATGTGCGCTCACTAACTGCTGGCCTGGGTACAGAGTTTGATCTAGGAGACAGTTCTCCCCAGTGTCAGATTTCTGTCTCTGACCAGCTGGGAGCCATGGAAATGTGCTCAAAAGTTATCAAAATATGTACGCCTTTCCTGAGAGCCACTGCAGTCACCGAGGCGTGTGGGAAGGAGTAGGTAGGTTTCAAAGGAGCCGGCAGCCTCTCCAAAGCCCTGTTCAAAAACCTCCTGGTGCAGCCACCTCTGTGAGCAGCACAAAGGCCCTGCATGTGACCAAAAATCTATACACACGACCTACGTACAGGACTCTCATGGCCTCGTACTACTGAGGTGGCCCATGACACTAGGAATTCACACACACATTCTGCAGGCAAATCACAGAAAACAAATTATAGAGGTCTGTAAACACACACATACACACACACACACACACCCTACAAAGCTCAGTGGGTTTAGAAAGGGTCGAGTTTCCTCAAGAATTCAGAAGTGAGAGAGAGAAGGAGAAGAGAAATGCTGTTTTTATGACTTGTCATAGTCAATGTCTTTAACCTGTGCCTCCCTCTCCAAGCTCCTGACCTCCTGGCATTATTCATGGGGCTCCCCTTCCAGGACACTCCTCTCCCTCTCTGGGTGCTGAATGTTACATACCCCAAGCCCCAAACCCAAAGCCCTCAGGTCCTATTGTCTGCCGGGCTGGGGATGGCTGAATGTGAGGGAGGGAGGGCGAGGTGGAGGACCAGTGCCTGACACCTGCAGGGGAGGAATCCTCAAGGCTCTGGGGCAAACAATGGCGGGGAGGGGGGAGACCAGAAACTTCCCCCCATCCCACCCTGCCGCCCACCACCCAGCAGCGAGGCCTGGGAGCTACCAATCCACACAACTGGCTCCCAACACAGCCAGAGCCCCATGTGCCCAAAAGGAGACATTGTGCCTGGCGAGTGTGGGAAGCTTCCCTCCTGGGTGCCAGGAAGGCTTTCTGGCACCAATTGGCAGCACCCTGGAGGCGTAACGTGCAGGCGCAGTGGGAAGGGGCTGCGGTGCGAGCGCAGGGTGCAGGTGTGAGGTCGGGAGCTGACAACCCCGAGGGCCCTTTGCATCCCGGGGAAGGGGAACGGCGGAGCTCCGGGCTGCAGGCTCCTGGCTCCGGAAAGCCCGCGGCAAGCACTGACCCCTCTGTGAGCGGTAGAGCCCGGGACACAGCGGTTCTGCCCCCACCCCCAGCCCTGAATTGCGTCTTGAGGAGAGGACGACCTCGGGGGTCGCTGCGGCCAGGGTAGGGGCCGTACTCACAGGCGCTCGGTGTTCCGCGGGATGTTCTTGGGGACGGCCTGCAGCCCGGTGCCGTGGCAGTCCACCGTGGTGCCCGTGCAGGTGCAGAGGGCGGGGCACGCCGTGGCACCCAGGCGCCACGCGGCTGCCCACAGCAGCAGCCAGAGCTCGGGCCGGGCCAGCCCCGCCGAGGATCCCCACCCGGGCGTCAGCACCATGGTGCCCTCACCGCGTCCCGCTGTGTGCCAGACAGCGGCAGCCGCCGACCATCCCCGTCCGGGGCCGCCTCCAGGTGCAGTCCCGGGGCAAAGCCACCAAAGAGCCTGCGGGTGGTGCGCTGCCCTTGCGGGCTGGGAGGCACCTTGCTCCGCCAAGCGACGGCGCCTGTGCGCGGACCGAGGGAGGGCGCCTTGGGCGGAGGGCGCTCGGCTCCTCTCGCGTTTCGCCGCCTGCGTCTCCTCTACCTCCCTCCAGCTCCCAACTGACTGCTGCGAGGAGGAAAATGGGCAGGCCCCGCGCGCGCACGCCCGCGCACACACACTCACACACACGCTCACACCCGCACGCTCGCTCCCACCCGGCAGTCATCCATCAATCGGGAAGCACACATCCAGGGCCAGGCTCCTCCCCACCCCCCGCCGCCCCTCCCCCGACCACCCCGCCGCTGCGGCCGCGTACAGTTTCAAAGGTGGAACCTCCGCGGCTCCGCGGCGGGCAGGGGCTGCCAGCGAGGGGAAGGGTGCTGGCTCCACACACACAGACACGCGCACACACGCACGCACAGGGCGAGGGTGCACACATTTAAACGCACGCACCCCAGGACCCGGGGCCCCAGCTGCTGGTGGGGGGGGGGGATCTTATTTAGCCGCTTGGATGCCTTCCCTGGGCCACAGACGCGCTTCCCCGACGGCAGAAGCGGCCCCCAGGCGCCACCGGACTTGCTTTGTCAATTCTAGGCGAAGGGCAGCCCGGCGCCCAGGTGGCATCTCCAAGCCACCTGTCTTACTTAGCTTTGAGAGTGGAGCCTGGGGTGGGGTGGGGGACAAAAGCCCTAGACCAAGTACAGTCTCCCCCCAGCCCAGTTCCTCAACACATGTTCTCTGCCACGATGGCAGCACCTCCTTCTGTTTCTTTTCTATGGGCTGGGTTTTCACCAGGTGCAGTATGACCTGACCCACACCACCAGCAGCACCTGCGGCGCCCAGGACGAGAAGCGTCGGGACTCGTGTGTTCACAGCAGGGCCGCACCCGCTGCTTCCCCGGCTGTGAGCGCGGGCAGGGCTTCAACGGGAGTTGGAAATCCGGCGAACATCTCCCTCCACTCATGCCGGCGTTCCTCCATTTCTGACAGGTGAAAACGAAAATTCAATGCGAGCATCAAAGGAGACAGAGCACCACAGGCCACCCATATCAGACCCAGGCCTCACAGCCCGCTGGGCAGGGACTTTCTGCGCCCTGAGGCAGGCGTGGACATGGGTGTGAATGGGAACTGGGGGGGGGGGACAATTCTCCTCAACCCCAGAAAAAATGAAGGACCTCCCCGAAACGATGGATGCAGTGGCTTGCTGGGCTCTTCAGGACCAGGCATTGTCCATCATCCGGGCCCTGATGTCCAGAGTGCCACCGCCTGGCACGGGGAAGGGGCTGAGGTCAAGAAGTGGCTCCCCTCACAGGAGCAGGGTCCGGTGGGAGAGGTGCCTGGCGGATGCAGTGTGGTGTTGGGGGCCGGCGACGTTGCTAGGCTCTGCGAGATTAAAGCCTTGTCACCCACCAAGTACCCAAGGCTCAGCGTTTTTCTTTGTTTTTCTTTTGCATCTTGATGAACATTTTGCAGTGTCCCTACTGTCATGGCACAGATAGAACCGCGGCCAGTGTGCACAACGTACACGGCTGATTTTATGGGCCTTTGACACTTCTTTTGTAAAGTTTGCACACATCCCTGTCTGTGAGCTGCAGCAATTCAACAACTCAGTGGAGGGGGCTTTCTCAGGGGTACCTGTGTGCTATGACACAGGGACCCGTCCCACAAACCAGCCAGACACTGACAGGGCCGCCTCTTCCCTACTCACCTGCTCCAGCTCATGCTCCTGCTCCTGCTGCACTGGCCCTCCCAGCGGCCTGGGGCAGAGTTAAATCCGAATTGGCTTTGTTTATCCCCTCCTAGCTGGAGCTGTGTACACATATGGCTCCCTGTCCACACTCCCGGGGCAGAGCCCCATCCCACCCCTGCCCACCCCTCACTTGGGCACTTGCCCCAGCACCTGGCACTTAGTAGGCCTATCACAGACAGCACTCAGACAGTTGAAGTCTCCAACCTTCCACCCCCGAGGTACCCCCCTGCCCCATGACCTCGGAGAGTGCCTGGGAAGCAGGGACCCATGTGGGGAAGGGGAAAGTGTTGATTAGCCCGGCAGTGCACCCTGAGGTCCTCAGAGTGGCAGGGTGAAGGGGCGTGAGGAGGGGTGGGCGTGGGCAGGGGGTGCAAGATCAGCCCTGCCTGTGGCTCCCGAGAGCCAGCCCCCGCCCCAGAAACTTCCAGACTAGCCTGGACAGTGAGTCCCACGCAGGCCCTGAGCCAAGTTGTCACTGCCTGGCAAAGCCTGGCCTCTCCTTTGAAGGGAGAGAAGGAAGGAGGGCCCCCTGAGACCCAGGACAAAGGCTCCCCCCGACAGCCCGTCATGGGAGGCCCTGCCCCAGCAGCCAGGCAGCCCCCCAACTTGGCTTCCCTCCCCAGCTCCTCCACCCCAGAACCTGGCCAGCTCCCCAACTCGAGAGGCAGCTCGCCATGAATGAACGCAGCTCATTAGCGGTCCCAGCACATTTACTCGTTAAACAACCGCCTGGCCAGCCGCACACCCCAACCCCCCCATGCGTTTTCAATTTCCTCTCCCATGCCCCTCCCTCTGTTGCGTCCCCCCGCCCCCTCCCTACAGCCGGGCCACCTGCTCCCTCTGCACGGGCGGGCGGGGAGGAGGCTGCCTGGCGCATGGCTTCTGCCAGGAATGCTCCACCGAGCCTGGCTCTGCCCACCTGCCACCAGCAGCGCAGCCCCCAGGAGGGAAACCTGGGGTTGGGTCTCCCCATCCCAGTAGTGTGAGTCTCCACTGAGTCCCCTCAGCCATGTGTGCTGGCGAGTTGAGGGCCACCTCCTGCCTGTGACTAGGGGAGAAGTTGCCCTCCTTCCAGCTTCTGCGCAGTTCTCTCCCCACCTCCCCCAGCCCCCTGTGGAGCGCCAAGCAGGTAGAGAAGCTGGGTGAGGCTGAGGGGTGCTGGGGTGTGGATTCCAAACTGCAAGAGGCAAATGGGAGGCAGAATGTCTGCCCTAGGCATCGCTGGGTACCACTCACTAAGTACCGTGCACACAGTACTGGAACTCAGTCATTCAGCCGGGAATAAGGACTGCCCCTGCCTCTCAGTGAGCTCTTAGTCCCCGCAGGAGCACAGACAGGAGAAACAGGAAAGTCCACTCACATGATAAGTTTGGTGACAGGGAACGTGGAATCCCAGAGAACCCAGAGTGAGGGGCACAGAATGGAAGAGGAGGCGCTTGAGCCAACCCTTGAGGGATACACAGGCATTGGCTGGGCAGCAAAAGAGGAAGAAAGGCTCTCCCGGCAGAGAGAACTGCATGAGGCAGGGCACGCGGACCGGAGCAGCATCCTCAGCAGCTGAGCTTTGCAAGTCCAGCAGGGCTGGGGTGCGAGAGGAGGCCACAGAGGGGACGGGAGCACAGCCCAGAGCCCGGATGCAGCCGTTCTCCAGCTTTCCTGGGCTTCAGCACCCCTGGCCTGGCCCTGTGCTCGAACCCGTGCGTGTGTGTCTGTGCTGGAAACGCGCTGTCTCTGGATCCAGTGCCTTCAGCACCTGGTCGCTTCCAGACAGCAAGGGACAGGTTCGACATATGTTTCTTTTCTATGGACTGGGTTTTCACCCTGTGTAGTATGACCTAACCTCAACACCACCACCACCAATACAGCTTGTACACCCCCCTGGGGTGCTTATTATACATGCTGATCTCTGTGACCCACCCCAGACCTTCCTAGGCACTGTGAGCAAGCTGGGCGGCTGGGGAGGGAGCAGTGCTTAAGGAGGTGTGATTCTGATGCAGGTGCTTCCAGAGACCGAGCTCTAAGGATCAAGGCCTGGTGTGCTGAGTTAATGAGTTTGAACTTAGACCAGAAAACTCTGGAGAGCCAGAAAGGAGGGGCCTGGCAGGGACAAAGGGTCTGAGTCCCACCTGCCTTCCTCCTTTCCAGGTTCCATGCACCGTCAACAAGGATGAGGCACAACAAAGAGAAAGACAGTCGAGCTGGAGTCGGAGGGAGGACAGGATGTCAGAGCTGGAAGGGGATTAAGAAACAATTGAATTCAAATGCCATCATACAGTTAGGGGCCACAGAAGTGAAGCAACCAGCCTAAGGAGTTGCAGCAGTGGGCCAGGCGTGGGGCCGGATCTTGCTCTGCTGGGCCACACACCTGGGTAGAGCACAGCATCCAATCCATCCCGGGCACCCCTCTGCCACCCACAAAGGGACTAAGAACCAGGAGCCCCTGGGACGGCTATGCCAGCTGGAGTCTGGGTATTTTAGCTTTCATCTCTAACCCCTTGGATATGCTCAGATTTGGAGGAGGCCGAACTGTGTGAGGCTCTCAGAGACAAAGCCTACAGCAGAGACAAGCTCCTAGACTTAAGGTCGAGTGGCTTTTATAGCCCAGGGGCCACCTTACACATCCAAGACAACTCCGGCAACTAGGAGCACTGGAAGCAGGAGAGAGGTGGAGTGGGGAAGGGAAGGAAGGAGAGAAGAGAGGGAGAAAGCCAGCGACAGAGCCTGCGCAGGCAACAGGTGTCCCTCGTTGGCCAGACGTTGATTGCCGGCCAACTGTGAGCCCAGCACTGGGAATATAAGAGATCCGTGCTGGGGGTTCATTGGGTTTTTGTATCTTATTTGTAATTTTCATCAAATTTAAAATTTTTTCAACCTTTATTTCTTCACATTTTTTTCCTGTTCCCTCCTCTCTTTTTTCTCCTCTGGGGAACCCACTTACCCATATATTAGGGCATTTGACATGGTCTCATGGCTCACTGATTCCCTGTTCAGTTCTTTTTATCTTGTTTCTCTCCGTCTTCATTTTGGTGAATTTCTGTTGTTGTGTTGTCACTTTCATTATCTTTTCTTCTACAGTATCTAATCTGCTATTAATCCCATCCCATACAATTTTTATCTCAGGCTTTGTGGTTTTCATATCCAGATCTATTCGGGTCTTTTTTGTGTCTTCTATGTGTCTTCTTAACATTCTTATTTTCTCTCTACCTTCTTATATATATGGAATATAGTTGTGATAACTATAGCCACTAATTTTAAGTATCATTTCTGGGTCAGTTTTGATTGATCGCTTTTTCTCTTCTCTTCATTATGGGTCATATTTTCTTACTACAGTAGTTACCCTTTATCTTC